TCATGGAAATCATGACTCAGCGGATTTTGGCACTTAGGGTATACCCAGTCTATTTACCATGACTCAACGCCTTTAATGTTTTTATAATTGTATAGAAGTGTATTTCTTATATTTTTGAATTATCGTGTGTACAATTTGAGAGGAAATACAAAGTCATGCTTGTCATTTAAAAGGATGCTCCAGGAAACCTGCGCATTCCTTAGTTAAGATAGCTTTCTGATCCTCATGTGGGAAAAACCAACTTTTTCTTTCGAACTTCTTCGATATCTATCAGTGTACCCCTCACGGCATAAATGTACACGGCAACTCTGTAGCATCACCATTTCGTCTTTCAGCTCTGAAATTTATCTTTTTGCATTTATCCTATTTGATATTGGGAAAGACGTATAAAGCACATTGTTGAAGGCAGATAAAGTTGTAATATTTGTTTCTAAATTCAATTATTTCTTTTTCTGGGTTTTGGAAACGTAAACAGGTAGTTCAGTCGGGAAGTGTTGCTTGTTGCAGGTTCGTGTACTATTCTGGTCTTGTCCACTCGCTCATATTTTATAAAACATTACCACATCTCCATCTCGACCATTTACTCTACTGAAGTGCAGTGGAGCCCTACGATGGTTGTCTTGGTTTAACAAAACATTCCACTTTTTTCATTTTTTTATCTGTTTTCGCGTGTTTTTGATAATGCGATTTATGATACTGCTCTTGAATATTTTTGCTCAACAATTATCCTACTCTCTAGATTTTATATTTTTTCAAAAGTGGCATGAAATTATGGTTTGCATTCAAGTTGTAAAGTAGCGAATTTGTAAGAATTTCAAAGAGGCAAACATGAAGAATTGACATTGCCACAACGATCTTCTTCTTAAGACAATTTTTCGTATTTTTCCTTGGGGCAAGCTTTGACCAGCTGCAACTTTCGTTGCCTTTTTCGGTGATTTAAAATAGTTATAACTAAGTACATGCTATATGATTTATCAATGAATAAAAAAAAACTTAGTAATGAGATTATCAAAGAGAACAATTTTCTGATATAACATTTATACTCTAAAAGTTCACGCAGGGGCGGATCCAGAGCAAATGTGAAGGAGGGGCAGTTGGTAGTGGGGCGCTGAAAATTTTTCAAAAATTGGTGACGAGAGTACGCTGTATACAACAATTTCAGACCCATTTTCAGAATAAACAACATAACTTTGAAGTAATCCTTGGAGCAAATTAACCTATCGGTCTCAGAAACTTTATCACCTGATTCTCATTCTTCAAAAGAGGCGCACAATTTCTAAAAAAAGGGGCGCCAGACTTGCTTCAACTCGTCGAGGGAGGGGCAACTGCCCCAACTGCCCCCCTTAAATCCGCCACTGAGTTCACGAAAGGATTGCTTTTCATGTAATTTTGATCTTGATTGGTTAATAGTTTCTCCTTCCTCTAGCAATTTAGCCAAATTTTGAAATTTACCGCATAAACCAATGAAAATTTGGCACAATCGTGATCCAGCTTCATTCTCAAAATTTGAATTATTTCTATTCAAGTTTTAGATAGTTTTTGTTCTAAAGTAGAATTTAAAAGATCCCTCTCCCCATTCCTTTTCTTTCAAATTTTCTTTCAAGATATAATTTCCCAATTTTAAAGAATATGGTATTTTTGGATTTCATTTTAGAATTTGCCTTATAATTTGCTTTACAATTTTTGTTTTGCCTTTCATTCTTTGAATTAATGTTGACATCATCAAATCATGTACAATGCCTGCCAAAAGTACTTGGAACACCCACCAATTTACGCTGCATTTGATATCTTTCATTCCTTTCATGAAAAAAAATTGCTACTTCTGCCCCCTTCCCCCTCAAACAATGTTGATGATTTAGAGAAATATCATAAAAAAAGCGCAAAAGAAAGTGCTTCCTAAAATCCTATCCCGTTTGAAATACAATGAAAAAGAAGTTATTCAACAAGGGATTTGAGAGAGAACAATTTATAGATTATTTTGAAACTTTTTTTCGTTGGCAATCTGTGTGAGACTTTTATAGTTAGCCATACCTTGCACTTTTATTTGTCATTTGTGCGACAGAACTGGAAATAACCTCGGGTTAAGTGAGAAACTCCCTTTTTAATCACTCTTAAGCTCTTTTTCCTCATCGGACGAGAAAAACCTTTTGCGAATATCCCCATTTTTTAACTTTGATCTTTTATTCTTTATCAGTATTAATAATAAAGAAACTTATGAAAAATGTATAGAAATATTACTTGTTAAAAGCTCTTGTTAAAAGAAAATGTTTTGCAACAAGTTGGCGGGGGCCAAGGCAACCCTCATCACCCCTACCCCCGCCCCTCCTATGGTAGAGCAATTTGAATAGGATGAGCAGCTTCACCCTGTATTTTCAACGTTGGCTTTTACATTATCCATCAGCTTCGTAACATTAGAATCTACACCTCGCAACTTCTTATACGATTATAATTAGCAAGCTGTTTCATCTGCCTACTTTAATAGATAATTACGAACATGGACCAAAGGTCATTAGAAACAGCAACCCCTTATATTCATGACAGAATGTTTCAAAGAGCCCCTTTCTTACAACCCTTCTTTTCCTCAGTGAATATTGGCACTGTTCGATGATGTCCATCTCGTGAATAATGAGGGTCTTGTTTCAAAGTCTCTTCCATTTTAATTTGAACCCTGTAAGGAGTGGAGGGCACCCTCTCATCCCGTTTTTTACAAATATTGAGAAGCCTTGTATTATTTTGATCAGATCTATGCTGTGCAGTTATGCCACCCACCCAAAATAGTTGCTCCACTGCTCTCCTTTACCCATATTATAAACATAACATCAAGTGGCCTGTCATATGCCCCTCTCATTTCCCTTATGAATATTGGCACAGTTCGATGGTGTCCATCTCTTGCAAAACGGGGGCTTGCTCGCCAGTCTCCTACCCTTTCAGACAACTCTCTGACTGTGGGCAAACTTTGTACTCTGTATTGTTTGCGTAACGGCAAATGCCACCTCCTTCGAAAGATCCATACATTCTGCAGACGTCGCCAGTATCAGGTGATAATCATATCGATGCCTTGGAAGAGAGGCGGTGGATAGAGAGAGCAAAGAGGCTTTCTTCGAATAGCGGATTTGTTGATTTTTCAGATTAGCCCTATCACTCGTTACGTTTCACCCATCATATCTTCTTGGTTCATGGTGGCGCCGGATTTTGGTATTAGGAGACGAGTCGCGAAACCAAAAATTATGGAGCAATTAAGTAATAAAAGTAATCCAATTCAATCAATCTCGGTCAATTGTACCCGATCAGGCTTGTACAGTATTATAGTGTAGTGGTCAGCGTTTTACACTCTTGTCAAAACCATCGAAGGAGGACGTGGTTTGTTTTCAAAATTGCCTTTTACCCACAGACAATAATTGTTCACTACAGAATTCGAATACGATCCGTTGATGGCAATGGGCTCTTGTTTTTCACATTTGTTTGTATCAAAATTTTATTAAAGTCTTTAATAGAAAAAATAATCTGAATCTACATAAAACCATATTAATTCTTTTCGTCTAGAAACATTTCAAAGGTAATCATTTTTGATCGTGTGCTCACTATTTTATATAAAAACCAGATATATGTTAGTTCTATTATTCCATGTTGATGTTAGTTGTTCTAAGTTTTGCCAAAACCTTCAAGGGTGTATCTTGTTATATTGCTTTTGCTGCGGGTACTGCTATTTCGGTAACAGATGTAAAACATATGCCATCCCTGGTGCCTGATCCCCAACAACATGCTTTTATGGATAAATTACCTATTTTTCTTACAAAATAACAATGATTTTTTCAAAGATGTTTTGGCAGGTCATGACATTGATTTAAAAGCATCTGTAACAACATGTTATTCAAAATTCCGTTTACAGCATCTCAGCTTCATCTTATTCTTCAGTTGTTCTTGATCTTTTTTACAGTTTTTAGGCTTGTGTTGCTTTAAGTTTTTTCTTATACATAAGAGTGGAATAAAATGATGAAGCACTTTGCCCTCCTCTCCCTTTTTCCTTGCTGTTAGCTTTAAAATCCTGTATTCCTCAATGTTTATTCGCCTCATCCATAACAATCATTTGATTAACAGTTCCTGTTTACTTTGAGTTGATTTTTAAATTATCGTGTATGCCAGTTTTGTCAATTGTCTGTTTGTGTCTTGGCCTTTGAGAAAAACGTGCAGATCCTCTCACCATATCTACAACGGTCATTAAGGGGCAGTGGGCAGTTGCCATCTATCACAGTGCATAAGCTACCCTTCAAACGTGCACTTGAACGGATTTAAGGGGATGTGCCCTGGCAAAAAATTTGGTTACAGGCATAAAGCGAATTTTACCACTTTAAAATATTCCTGTAAAAGGTTTTTCAATGAAATTCAATAGTCCCGTAAAGAAATTCAATAAACATTTTCAAAGAAAAATAAGGTATTAAGTTTCTTCTCATAGATAAAAAAATGGTAATCCGTTTAGAAATATTGCTTGCAAAATAATGGTCCAAATATTTCCAGATTCTCGCTTTTTGTCTACCTGAACGTGCATTTGCGGAAACTTTGTTCCGAAAGTCAGTCCCATCTAGGAGCTCTTCCTCTGTTTTGGTCACCTATGATTGTACAATAAGCAAGGACAGGGATGCGGGGAAGAAATTTTTGGGTGTTGGCCCCCAGAATTTTTGTAGTGTGAGTTAAATGCTTTTATATCGTTAAAAATTGCTATTGTTAAACTAATTTATCAGGACTGGCTCCCCAAACAATGAGTCGTATTTTGGTCCTTGGTTATAAGGTCTATCCTTGGCAATCTTCTGTACCCCAAATGTCCTTTCTACTAGTTTTGACCCTGGAAAGAGGATTTCTGAAAATTATTAAACTTTGATAGCAAATATTTACCTATTTGAGACGTTGTCTTCCCTATTGATAATATTTTTCACCTTACGCATCAAAATGTAATTTCCTATTAGAGGAAATAAGAAAAACAATACTTCTTTCTCCATTTACAGCCATCGTAAAAGCACTTGGTTGACGGTGGTCACACAGAACAGTGGCCTGTGCAGGAGCGGAAACTAGCCTTAACCATAAGCAATGATAACTCGTTGGTGTGATGTCATTATTATTCAACAGGGCTACTTACCCTCGAGCTTAATTCAAGGAAAGAAGATGTTGCAAGATGATTAAAGAATACGAATTACGAGGATGCAAATTCCGTGACGTTTCTAAAGTTTTGAGGCGAAAATCCTCCTCCACAACATTCATCATCGTGCAGGTTTTGGAGAAGTAACGTTTCTGCGTCTCTTAACACTTCTCAATAATGTTTTAGAGTCTTTTCGTTTCCTGTTCTGGCATTCTCTGTCTGGCAGACAGGCCGCCCAAAGACTGACAGACACGCTGGCATAATTGGCTGCAATATCATACCCCCACTTGAATGGGCCGATTGGCTACCCTGTCAGCGGGTAGTGGTTGGTCGCGCGCACCTAGTACAAAACAGACAGTAGCACTTGTTCGCGGCAGTTGATGTTTTGTTAAAGCAGCGGTGTTCATCCAGTAATCATGATGTACCACCCTGGTGTATATAGCCAAAGAAGTTATTCAAGCAATGGTGGGTACCCATATGCGGACTTGTACAGCCAAAGCAGGCAATCGGAGTATAATAACAATATGGACAGTAATAATAATAACTATCATCAAGTAATCGGCTTTCAACCAGAACCGTATTCGTCTTACAAAGGCCAACAGCAGAGGGGAACGTACGAACACCGTTCTCTGCAGACAGAGGGCTGTTATCAGCCTGGTAATCAACAACAAGAAAGGAACGGCTATTTGCCCTATTACGGCAAGCAATACGAAGGATCTAACAACCTCCATTCGCAGAATTCTACTCAGATTTATAGCAATGGCTACGACTATAAATCAAGTGCAAACACCGTGATAACTAAAACTAGCTTCTCTCCTGATAACGGCGACTACAAGTATTATCCTCCTTGTGCCCTTCAACACTATGAAACAGATGCAGACAGCAACGAAGACGAAGAGATTGTCGAGCCTAGAAACCCGTGTGCATATGCCAAGACCTACATGGATGGCAGTTACCGATTAGATGCAGAAAGAGGTATTAAGCACTATCTTTTTGGTTGTTTCTCCATTCGCCAGTCACTTTCAGGTCTGAAGTTTCCTTTGCAATGGCTTCATGTTTTTGCCTGTTGCATACAACAAGAGAATCCCACTCTGCCACTACCATTACCTAGCTTAAAAGCATTCTCTAATCCGATTAGTTGCAGCTTTCTATTTTCTATTAAGACAATCACAACCATTGTCGCATTGGAAAAAATTCCTATACAGAACTCTTTTGCTGGATTTTCAAATTTTACAATATGCATTAGAGTAATTCTGGGCATGCATCTGATATTCTGGCTTCAGCCTAAGGTGTCCGGCCATCCCTATCGCGTAGGGTACCAATTTTGCGCCCGTTTATGCAACACTCGATTCAAATGTTCCATCTTTGGGCATTTTAAAAAGGTTTTTAATAATTATGTGCTTGTGACCAGTATGCAGTATGCAATTTATAGCCAACAACAAACTAATCTCCCATTCCAGAAATCACTCTATCTTTCAATTGGAGCACGTTAAAACATCCCCTAAAAACATATTCTTAAAAACAATTTATAAAATTATTGTTTGACAGTGATTATCCTATGAAATTTATAGTTTAACAGTGCTGCATTCTCGTTGCAATCAGGTTTGCAGCATCTGCCATTGATACATGTTTCGTATCTCTTGACTGCAGAGTTAGTATAAAGAACACAATATCTAGCCACAGCGTTAATTGAATAACCTTTTTGTACATCAAAAGTGCATAAAATAATCTGAAGTCTATAAGCATAAGATGATGCTTTATAGCCTGCTCCAGTTAATAAATAGAAAGGGGGATTCTAGGACTGCACATAAATCATAAATCTTTTACCTGCACAATCATCCTTAACTCTATACTGTGAACATTTGCCTATTTTGATGATTGTTTGTTGATCACAAGTAAACAAAAGGCCTGTAAAAGCCTTGCTGTAATTATTAGTTACTTGTATCCTAATGCCATGGGCTCATACTCCATAAGATGTAACAGTTTGTTTGACGTTACTTCAAATGAACTTGTTTGTAAAGCTGGCCCTTAGTATAAACTTCAGCTGCCCTAGCGTAAAAGGTAAAATGCCTTTGTGAACCCTTTCATGAGAACCCTGATAAGAAAAACTCTACGTTTTGTGGATTAGATAACCCCTTAAAGCAAACTAAAAGCTTTTCAAGTACAATATTAGTTTCTTTCAATAAAATTATAATCTTCAAATGATGCTACTTTATGTTAACGAGAGGGACTATTGTTTTCTTCTTAAGAGCGATATGGAGAAAACTGGTGTGAAGGGAGTTTAGGTAATTGAGGCTGAGTTTATGTGGAAATATAATAATATCTGGAAGTAACCCATATACTTTGAAAGTTTTGCTCTGGGCAAAGTCTGATAGATTATAGGAAGATAGAATGTCTGTTTTTGCCATCAAAGTTTTTTATATATATATGTATATATATGAAATCATGATGAAACTTAGGTTAGCTTTTAGTTAGCTTACAGAAGAACCTCGTTGTCAGAGCTGGAATAGGTTGAGAAGAGAAATCTTTGATTAGAGAGTGCCAAGCACAAACACTATGTCTCATATCTAACTGGTGGACGAGTGAAAACGCAAGGGCGTTTGTAAAATACCTACTTTTGATGTGTACGAAACACATTGATATCGTTGAAAGCGTCAGTTCTGGTTGTTAGGTAGAGTCGTTAGCACTGGGAAAGTAAAAAACAAGGTCCATCATCAGTTTTCTTTCGTGTATCAAGGTCCATCTCACTACTAATCAGATTTGCGTCCTTATGTATGATTTTGAAGGGATACCCTCTATTTTCCTTGCTGTCTCACCCATTTGAAAGCCTGGCTATGCTCTTTATACATCCATACCTTAGTAAATTTCAAAATTTCGAAACTGTTAGTGACATTTCTTCTTAGTGTGATTAAACGCAGCTCTGTATCATCAGAGAAAGTAATGATACAGTAAAGATTTCTGCATCTTACTCGCCTCTACTTTCTAGCATTATCACATGCTTTGCAAGTTATCAGCAGTCAAGATTTTCCAGAATCCATAGAATGAACCTTTGCGTGTGGTTCATTTGATATCTGTTTTATTTAATTTTTTGCACTTTCTTGTTGTTTGGGTTCATAAATTGCTCCCGGCTGTGAGACGTAGCATCAACCAGATGCAAGGAAAGGAACGCTTCAATCAAAATTATAGTAAAACATAATAATTTCAAAAATTTTTATCAATCCAGTTGATAAAAATTAAAGCTTTGTATCATCAATATAATCGATTCGAGAAGTTGTTAAAACCAATATTTCTATTTCTCGTAAACAGAAGACGTTTGCTTCTTTCAGTAACTGATTTTTTAATTACGATTGTTACTATTTCGTAATACGTTTTTGGCTCTTTGCTATTTTCTTATAGTTTCTCGATTGCCCTTACGACCATTTTGTCACTGAGCCTACCGGGAACTGAAACGTGTTCAAAATTTCATTTTAACATGTAGAATACTATAGAAATAAGGAATATCTACACGGAAGGAAAACGAAAATAAGGAATATATACACGAATGTGATAAAGTGCTTAATTTTGTTACAATTTTGATACAACGCTATGATTGTATTGGAAAGAAAAACTATTGTACACTATCAACGCAAAGAGTTTTCAAACTTGGACATCGTGAAGTTTGACAAGTTTGTTAGTTTGAAAGTGAACCAAAAGACCGTGCCACCAAGCACCATAGCCAAAGATTAGGAAAGTTTTTTCTTTGCAGAATATTTCTTGATCACTTTTGATCTTTTAAAAACACTCTTTTTTGTTTTATTTTTCTATTCCAAACTTTGTAAACACTTTTTTAATATATTGTTAGTAGTCTGGTCGATATGAAAGAAAAATCTCGATTTCTTTGGGACACTGAGCTGGGTTTGTGTATTTTATCGTAATATTTTTCAATCCATGGAAAAATAACTGAATCGAAAGTCATTAGTAACTTTGTTGGGTTAACTATTTCTTCCACGAACCTTTCGTTTGTTTTTATTTTATTTCTATATGAAGAAAAGGGAAACAGACTGGGCAATGATGAATTCTATCAAGTTGCTTTTAAACTTAATGAGGCAATTCTCGATTATATTCAATTCTTTTTGGCTGCCAATCCACACTTGATCACAAAATGTTAAGGTATGGGTTTTCAAAAGACATCGAGAAAATGTTTTTAAGTTATTTCTTATTTTCAAAATACTTTTGCTCTAGATCCATATGTTATTCGACTTAAAATTTTTCAAGCCTAAAGCTGGATTCTCCTATTTGGCCTCAAACGTCGATATGTAATGTTTGTTTTTAATAACGTCATATTTTGATGACATTGCTTTGTTTACTGTGCGAACGTTCCCTGTTTCAGGCTATTTCCACGTAAGAATTCTTTTGTCAGTCACAAAAGTGAAATATTTTGCGTTCAGAGAAAGCCTGTTTGGTTTTCGTTGTGCCTTTCGTTTCCGACATCTTTTATACCATTGTAATAAACTCGAAATTCTTCCATTATTCAGATATTTTGAAGATTACGATGGTCAAGCATTTTTTATTGTTCATTCTGTGCTACGTTTTTAGTATTGTCGTTCTTACAGCTAACTTTTCATAGACACGGAATTCTCGAAAGGGGTTATTCAATATCTTAAAAAGATCGATAACAGGTAAAAGGTAGCAAGCATAGCAATGGCAGTTAAAAAGTCGCTGACGTGCTATTTATTTACTTCTTGTGAAACGCATTACAAAATTTAAGGTTCTACGGAACCAGAGACTAAACGTGCTCATTTAATCATTGCTAGCAGATCTGTTTCGAATCTTTCGAAAAAATAACTTGAGCTGTTCCTAGCAAATCACTTAAGTGGGGAAACAGTTTGTCGAATGTTTATTTAAAGTCGTTAATTTTCTATGTTTGTCGTCTAATTTCCTACGTTAATAATCTTCTATTTTCCTTTTTTCGTTAAATCCCTGCTTGGTATAAGAAATTTAATCTTTTTTCCATGAACTATAGATACTGGGAACCTTACATTAATTTTTTACATTTCCATTTTACCTAAATCAAAAACAGATTTTCCACACAAACTTCCAATGAAAAAGCTTTCCATATTAAGTGTGACATTTAGCTTGCGAAAACTGCACGGGGTATTATCATTTAGCCACTAATTTAAAGATGGCCTAAAAAGTCACTTTCTTCGATACCTTTCGTGCTTCCTCATTTGATGCAGATTGTTATTTTTAGATCAAACTGGCTTTCGGGTATTAGATTGTGTTGCGGGATGCTGATGCAGGTTGTTAAAGAATTCTATCTAGAGGTATTAGACGGCATTGCGGGCTCCTCGTCGCGACAGTATTTTTACTCACATACCTCCGACCAATTACTGTGTGGTTCATTTATTAATCGTCTATGTTCCCTTATCAAAATATGATACTTTCGCTCTTCATCTCCGCTTATCACGCTTATCAGTTAAAATTTATGAGATTTTGTCCATTTTTCTTCGCATTTGAACATTTCATACAAATTCAAGCTTCTATCTATCTCTAATATTGGTAGTGCAACTGGTAATTCCATAGCTTACCGCAAACTTTTTCATAGAGCAAAATCTTTTGAGTTTTATTTGTCATCATAATATTATTCGCACCCTTTTAAATTTAATAAGACCCAAGCTGTAGTTTTAAGATGATTTACAGGACTAAGTCTGTTTTAGATAGGAAAGTAAATTCAAATAATGCCAGATTAAAACACCTCTGGAAAACCTACATAAATCATTTTCTTACAGGGCCTTACAAGGCCTACCCATTTGCCTTTGAACGTTGTTAAGCACACTGCCATGAGAAAGGCATTTGTTGAACAACCACTGATATGGTATTGGGATCTCATACTGGAATTGAATTTATATCCCCAACCCTTTTATATCCCATAACTAATACGCATCTGTTTAGGTTTATAGCACTGTTTGAATTTTCCTACCCCTTCTCTTTTTTCCCTATCATTTTTAAGCGTTGTGGAGCATGTTACTGGATCTCTTTAGTTTAGATGCAATTATTATAGGAACGTTTCTTGCACACAGTATAACCCACATTATAAAAGATCCTGCGATTTTCTGTAGCAAGTTGAAATGGCTCCTACACTTTTACAGAGTGTTTCTTTTATTTGAAGGTCCTTAATTGGCAAAAGTCCCCTGGCTGATGTGCAGTTTTCATATAGGTTTTTAATATGCTTTCTCTAAATTCTCCAAGCAGAGACAATAAGCAAAATTTCAAAATTTTTTCCTTCTAGTATTATGGCTTTTAGTTATATTGGTTTATAAATGCTTGAAAATAACATGAAAATTAGATTAATAGTGAAACAAAGCGGAAACAATTTCTTAACTTCCAATGGTACTCGATTCTGTCTAGAGGAGTTGTTTGTTTTTCAGAAAAATTGCTTACAGAGCTTCTTGTGCATAAAGGTGATCTGTTTAGAGGTATTACATTTAAAGGTGCTGCATATAGAGGTATTGGGCGTAGAGGTACTGCGTTTAGAAGTACTGCGTGTAGAAGTACTGCGTGTAGAGGTACTGCGTGTAGAGGTACTGCGTTTAGAAGTACTGCGTGTAGAGGTACTGCGTGTAGAAGTACTGCGTGCAGAAGTACGTCGTATAGAAGTACTGCGTGTAGAGGTACTGCGTGCAGAAGTACCGCGTGTATAGGTACTGCGTGCAGAATTACTGCTTTCTTTTTTAAGTACTGCATGAAAAGGCGATCTGCGAAGAGAGAGATATTCTCCCATATAATTAAAAACACGCGTATCGCTCTTTCAAAAGAGAGCACAACAGCAACCTTCCATTGTATTTATTGCCACGATAGCCTATGGAAATTGAATATTTTCACAGAGGGCTTTCAACAGGGCCAGGTCTGTTCTCAAGCTGTGGTTTTAAATACAAGGACGTCTTCGTTTCCTCATACAGACTGTGTTTAGAGGAGAAGCTTTTCTTTATGGCAGACTAATTTAACTTTTCGTTTTGCCAATTGTTCTATTTGCTAAGTATTACTTCATGCTACGAAGCTGTTTTTTGAAGCAATTTGGTTATGAAAATTGAGTTTTTGAGAACCAAAGAACTTTATCAAATATTTTCCTAATCTTTAGGACTGTCAAATTCGTTTAATTTCACACTTTGGTTCAGGTTTAGAATTTAGGAATGTATTCTGAAAGACAACTTTTCAGCTTTCTCTTCAGCTCAATAGCATAGTTGACTTTTCTGCAGCAAGGATGATGTTTGAAACCAAATAATCTCATGATCATTGGCATCGGATGATGATTTATCTTATTGTTATCTGTTTTCGATGCTCTTTTTAGTTTTTATCATTTTGCTTTCGTCAAGTATGTTAGAGAATGAAACATGAGAAGGTCTATCCGCAACTAGCAAAATTCACCTAAAAATATCGAAAACAAATTTTGCAGGCCTATAATTGTCAGCTAAAAAGAGTCGCTAATACCTGAAAAATAATCAGCTAAAAATTATCATCTAATACCCAGAAAATATCAAAATAAAGTATCTTGTTGTTGAGCACATAAGAGACTACTAGTCATAGTAATTTAAACTATTTCTTATAATTATAAGTTTAGATACATATGTTCTTTTATTCCTATTGTTGCATATAGTTGTATAAGTATCAAAAAGGTATATTGTTAAAATCTGGTACGCCAAGTTTCACATCACAAAGAACATTCTAGCCCATAATTATTGGATGGATCCCCCGTATATAGTTATAAAATTTCAAGTGACCCCCCCCCCTGTGCTAGCTCAATAGAAGCTTGATGACACCGTTAACGGTAAATTCATATTCCTCGTCTATTTTTGGGAAAGTATTTTTGCTCAAAAGACACAGGTAGATGAAAAGTCAAACTGTTGGTAGATTTTGTGCCTAACTTTTGTTCTTAATTCATTCTTAAATTCACCAGTTTTTTCAATATTCATGTGAAGTTTGTTCTTATAAAAAGAAAAGTGTGTATTTTCTTTTTTACTTGGAAAAGGCGACCATTTCCAAAAGTAAATCATGTCGATGAATAACTTCCCTGTCTTTATGTATTGGCATATGGTGTTTTATAACAGCAGATAGAGCCTGTCTGGAAAAGTGGTGTAGCCTGTCTATAAGGGTGTGGTTTTCAGTCTTCTAAGACTCTTTGTTGGCTTGTGGTACCGATCAATGTACAATCGCAACAACTAGATATCTACGTTGCTTCAATAAAACCAATTTAACCTCTAAAAAATCTTCAACTTTTAATTTTGCAATTTTTATCCATTGAATTACTTGAGTTTTTTAAATATAAATATTTTGTAGGTATTAATATTATAGAGGTATTTGTATCATGCAAATAGGCATTGTTGAAGCAATTTGGCACCTGAAGAAGTATTCGAAAGAAAAGATAAAATGATAGCTATAACGAATGACCAGCCACTCACATTTATCAAATTTTGATTACATCCTAAAGCAAAGTTTGTGATAACCCTAAGCCGCAAAAACTTTAACATGAATCGATAAAATTACGTCTACAGTGATAAGGATCAAAACTTAACAAACAACTTAATAAAAAGTCAGCATGACTTGCATCAAAGGGGCAGAAATAAAGTTTTATCATCAATTTTTCATCAATCCATGCTGTCATGAAACTATCCCTTTTATCTTGCTAATTCAGTTAGTGAAACCAACCCTTCATCTACCCATTAGATGTGGATAGCCTAAGACGTACAGTTACTATCCCATATCTCGAACTATGACGTCAAATAGGAATATATTCGAGATAGCGGATGGCCACAATAATTAAAGGTTTTTCTATACTTAGACTTACACTCAAACGAAGGGTAATAAAAATTGTTCGAGAAGCGGGTATGTGAGATGGAGGATGTTAACTATATGTATCATCCCATATCAACAAAACCAAACTTGAAGTCTGTGGCAAAAGAGGGGGATAAAGTAGAACAATTTTGGGGCACCTGCCCTTCTTCCCACCGGTTTTCATAGGTCCTTAAGAAATGCAAGCCTTACGACGTCTTCTAGGAATATTTGTCTTAACAATGACGTACTGACAGAACCCCTTCATGTATGTCAAAATAATTTTTTTATTACCTTTTTTATCTGAAACCATCTCCGTGCGTATAGATGTGTCTTTTTCATATCCAAATTTCACTGTTATAAGCGTCAGTGTCTTGTTTCAAACAATGGGAGGTTACAGTAAGAAATCATTCATTCACTTCTTTGAACTACTTTGGCCCATTTCCCGTTTTTTCCATCGACCCATTAGCCTTGTGTGAATTCTTGGCTCGATAGTCTATTTTTAAGGAAGGCACCGTCTGTGCAATACCAGAGTTTGAGTGGGTGATATCCGCGAAGTTCTCCACAAGCAGCACACTAAATTTCAATTAACTATTCAGTGATGTCGTAATGAGGTCAACTGCATCAATATGGTAGTTTTTGAAGGGTGTCAAATCTTGATGTATTTTTTACAAATAATCCTTTAATGGGATGCTTTACAGAAACAATAATCGTTTTTCTGTGATACTGGTGCATATTGTGATTACGAAATTGTAGTATCATTTTTTTATTAGCTGCCATTTTCGTTGACTTTGGGGATGATGATAAGTTAATAGCAAAATTTGGTTATGAAATTCTCAGAGTCGGGAAAACATCACAGCCCCACGGCCACTGGCCGGCGGATGGTTGTTGAAACAACAAGAAATTGAGGAAGGTGACCAGAAATTTGGAAACTTAAGGACGTTGGGAAGTCTATTGCCTTTTGGTTTAAAAAACACATTCAGACAAAAAATTAAAGAACAAATATAATTTATAAGCCTCCTGTTTTTAATACTGAATGTGTTTGCAGAACTGCTTTACACTGTAAAATTTAGGCATTAACTTTTTATGATTTACATATTTTGAAAAATTAATTTACATATTATGTTTGGGAAAAACAGAGTTGCAGGGAGAATGGAACAAGACTAGTCCAGGACCCCCAGTTTCCTGACCACGCCAATCTTTAAAACCATTAAAAATGAGGAAAGTTTTATAGTAGAATTTGCTTAGCCGGAGAAAGGTTGACAACTTTTTCAGACTCTTGAAATTCTAACCTTTGAAACGTGACATATAGCTTCTTGCCTCTTTCAGGCCATCAAAACTTGAAGCTGTTTCTTTTTTTGGCACTCCTTTGCCTTATACAGTAAAAAATAATAACCTCATTTTGGGCTGGGCTTTCTTGCTACAAAGTTCTCATTACTGAACATTTTCTATTGACATACAAAGAAAACAAGAAGTCGCTTATTAGGACCCAAGCTTCTGTCTGTTATTTTCACATTGCTTGGCACATTGCGTTATTTTCACATTGACACCAGAATATTTTAGGAAAAATTGATTATGTGGATTTAAAATTTTAGAAGATATTTGTTAATTATGGTTTAGCTCTATCGTGAAATGATAAAGGTTGTTTCCGTAATGTTTTATTTTAGAAGTATGATTTTCACAAATTTTCATTCATAAACTAGCGATACATTTACTAAACCAGAACAGAACAGGATAGAAAGTTCGGACACCTTTCAGTATCTTCACCAGGCAGCAATCGTGTAGGCCAAGCACATTCATTCCGATAACGGTCTCTATAGTTTCATCATGAAATCGGATTTGGTGTTCTTCGTACATCGATTCTGATATTCTGTTTCAATTTTGCAGCTCAGCAAGCACCTTGGGAAACACGTCAGAAATCAAGACATCGCAAACGAATGACATATTCTCGAAATCAAATACTTGAATTGGAAAAAGAATTTCTGTACAGTAGATATTTGACAAAGGAGAGGAGGAAGGACCTCTCTGACACTTTACGACTTACTGAAAGACAAATTAAAATTTGGTTCCAGAACCGACGAACGAAATCGAAAAAAGAAAGAAGAATGCAACTCAAAGATAGCCAGCCAGATGCACAATTATAATCGAACGCAGTACAACGTAGCCGGCGACGTAAGAATCCTATTGGCATATCTACACCAGAAACCCCGATTTGGTCCAACTCTTTTGGCCACATCGTTTGATGTTCGAGGGCTCAGTTGACAACTCATCTCAAAAGATGATTTCTTCTCTAATGGAGAAGCTCGCCTGCTGACATCTCATGAACAATGTTGAAACTTTTTCCATAGTTCATATTTCTAAACCTTAGTATTTTTGCTAGTGCTGTGGTTGGTCGATAAGGGGCCACATATTTTTACCCTTATAAAAATTTTGAGTATACTTAAAGTGGGGTCCTGAAGGGAGATTCTAAGTTTATTACTTAATACTTGGCATTTTTTGTAAAAAGTGTGGGGGCTAAAGCCCCCCCAGCCCCCCTTGCTCCGCGGTGTCTGAGTTATCCCAGTCTATGAAAGATTTTCCCAGTCACATTTGCTTAAGCCACAAGAGCCAAACCAATCCACTCTTGTTTATCGGTTCCATCTTAACAGCACAATCTTGAAAGAACTTCCAAAATGTTGACCATAGCCATTTGCATTCTAAAAACAATTAACTGGGAGTTTGTCGAATATCATTTTTTCGTGAAAGTTGGCATTTTAGAGCTTCAGGTTAGCGTGGACTCTGACCTGCAATAAAACCTATACTATAAAAAGAAGTCCGTGGGGATTTATTTGAAAAGTGAGTGGATGCAATTGCCACTTTAATGTAGCCCCCGAAGTACTAGTGTATATATCTCGAGAGGCGTAAATTTTGCGTGAACCTCCGCCATTGTGACATAAAGTTGATAACCCATTATTTAGGAAATTCAACATCGTTGTGCCATGGATTGGTAGTGAACACACTCTTTCGTTCCTTCCTCTACCTTGGCATAGCTTTTAGGCGCAAAGCTGGTAAGTTTCTAGATTTTATAAGCTAACAATTTTCCATTAAACTGGCATATGTGGTAGCAATTTGCCATAAATTCTATTTAACCCTGTGCCTGTACTTTGCCTGTGCCCGCCATTAATAGCTGATCCGAATGCGAGGAATCCCTCCATGAAAACTGGAAACACCCATGCTAAAAAAGAGTATGGTAACGACATGAAATACAGGGATAAAGGCTTTGTCGGCTAGAATATCTTAAGATGAAAGATAAAACCATGAAATCGAAAGCATGCTCACATGTCTTCTTGTTAGAAGGCTGTCATTCTAGTATTGTTTTATTGCGTGAGCATTCCAAAAACAATTGCGTTTTCCTTATCGCTTTACATTCCTGAACTTTTCGGCGTCAAATTTAGTCGGCAAACATGGGTCACGAAGACAGGCAATTTCGCTGTAGTACATGTTAAACCAAGTAAATTTGTAACTCATATTGACGCAGTATTCAAACGGATTCCGAATTACCTCTCAATGAATTGTTATTCTTTTACTTTTTACCATACATCAATGAATGACTGGTGTAATAACTGAAAAATCATTGAATAATTTTTATGTTTCTATTCTCGGGTATCTATTGTTGTCGGCGCAGATATTTTTGAAAGAAGCTTTTTATCGACAACTTTAGTCAGTTTTAAAACTGTCAATGAACGTACCTCATTGATTAAAGGTCCATTATTGACCAGCTCAGATCGGTTCTTCAATGACAAGTAACCAGTAGCAGATTATCATGTTCTATTTAAAGATTCAAAACCTTCCCACGTTGAAAACGCTCTGTAAACTATACTTTATTGTCGATTTTATGCTCTTTTGATCTGATTTCTATAAATTTTTTACCTTAAATTCTGAAAGAGCACCTTAGAATGTCTGTTGATCTGCAAAATCAAGGATAGGCTGAGAAATGATTGCATTCAGGAGAAGGGTTGAATTCCATACTGTAAAATTGTCCTAAACTTTATATAGTTTAGTAGAAACTATCCTTTTTTAATTCAATATTTTAAGAGGTCTTCAAGATTTCCAAAAGCTCTGTCTTACCCTCTGTCCTTAAAGGAACCTTGGCAGAAGAAAGTGAGTTAGTGTTTATTGAAGAAACGGAAGAGCTGATGCAGGATTCGCAAAATCGCTATGCAGCTATGTACAATCTAGCCAACCAGACCCCTGTGTAAACCATTTTGAAGTTCGTGGTAAATCAAGAATAGTTTTCTCGGTGAATGATATACCTAAAATTATGTTTGCTGAGATCGTGACGAAAAGTCTTGAACTAGTCCAAAGCTATAGATTCACCCCATGTTTCTAAAACCCAACTTGAGTATATTTGAAGCATCATTGGGTAATTACATGTTTACTCGACGACTTTATCTTGCATGACGTCAGCCGTGAGCATTGGGAAACGCACGTTCATTAATATCCGAGATGTAGGTAAAGTTAATTATGTGTTTTCATGCACTTAAACCTGCAAAAAATGGCGGACCTTCGACTGCCGACCGCAAGGAAGAGATCTGAAAGCAAGTGATTCAGTTGCACATACAAGGCTTTGCTAATTATTTCTGTTTTTTTTAAAAAATGCTGTTACGTTTCGACATGTAAAATAATATCTCGATGAATTTCTAGCCGGCACCATCCATCGATGCAAGGACTCGCTATCAAAGACCCAACATCAAAAAGAGGCCTCAATTTACTAACAAAGGCTTACCTCTCATTACTCTGCCCAATGCAATTGTGTTACTTTGCACAACATTGGACGACTTGAATTGCTTAGCATAAATGCTAATTGAATCTAATCATACCAACAGTTTTCTTTCTTATGTATATTGTTTTTTGCAATAATTACAAAAAACAAATGAATTAAATATGTACACGTTTATACAAGGTCGTGTATGATTGGTCTGCTATGATTTTTGCAATACCACGTCTGCACAAGTACTTCAAAAAGGGTTCTCTCAGCTATGTAGAAGAACTTTTTTACCTCCTCTACGTGTACTCTAAACGGTCATAGAGACCAGACAGTTTTCGCGTCAATTTGAAAACATCATCTCGCCCAAGTGAACTCAAACCCTTAGCCAAAATACAATATCTTAAACGTAAAGGTAAATCTAGTAAGATTTGAAAACAACGAAACAGTTATCCCATTTGTGCAAATGATTTTTGCTAAAGTATTACCACACTTGCTTTTACATATCAAAAAGCATACATGTCGCCATAACCTTATTATCGTAGCCTTTACCCTAGATTCTAGAGTCTCCATTATTTAGTCTCAGAATTTAGTCTCATTATATAGTTCGAAACAAGTCACATAAATATTTTACAATACTTCATCCCCAGATTCATGAGGCTCTGGCACCCTGGATAGGTATCCTTTTTTGATGATCTAGAAATGAAGCCTGCGAATAGTTTTAGTGCATTTTGATTCAAACAGCTTCGCTGCCTCATTGTAGCTGCTTCTTGTTGTCTTATTCTATACATCACTAAATATCAGCTATTAATTACCCCTATTCGCTCTGTTTTTCTGAAACAAGACATAATTATCAATGTTGCAAGACATTGATAGATAAGAATCTGTATAACGCACTTTACATTGAGATAAGTGTCTTATAGACAAAAAAATAATACAATATACGGTAATAAATCAAATTGAAATTTGTCAAGGAAATGGTCTAAAAACCGCAACTTCTTAGAGCATTTAAACAAGTCGTGTAAAGCTCCGAGTATAACCCACTTTGGTTATCACTTATGTCCTCTACGAATCTATCGCATCGTTATTGACAAAGGTACAGTAGGTTGAATGGCTGTTGCGGTATGAAGAAAAATATGGAAAATAAAGCACTTTGAGTTTGTTGAGAGCAGCCCTAGCAAATACACCGTCGTCTCTCGTTAACATGTAAATCCCCCTTCCAAAATTTCAGTTTGTTAATGCTTTTATCTTTTACCATCTTTTTGGTTTTTCAATGTGATTTATCTATATAACTTTAAAATAACTTGAAATTGTAAGAGGAAAATTAGCGATTTGAAATTATTTAAACTTATTTTCTTCGTGCAATTTAAAGTTATGTAAAAGTTATATTGTAACATTATACTGTACGACACGCAAGCTTGTATAGTATATATCTAGACCAAAATAGACTATAGTCCTATTTTGCAATTCTAGTTACCTAACGCAACTACAGTACAGATGAAGATATAGTATAACATAGCAATAACAAGTCTTCATAAAGAGCAGTAGATCAGTTACATAATACAACATTACATAGATTTTCTAAAAACACGAGTTAACATCTTTATTCTGAATGCTTTTCATGCGAAATTGTTTGAAACTTTCTTAAAGACAATGAATGGTGTCTATTTTGTTTAGTCATACTAATGCTTTTTAATAACTTTACCTTCAGGCCCTGAGATTTTTCTTAAATATATCGTCATGTCTTTACTGCTATTTTTCTTAACCATGAAAGCATTTTAGGAAATGAAACATATTGGCACAATACAATGATGACTAAGCTTGATGATAACTCTGTGATGTAACTTTAATCTCAAAATGCTCAGATTATAAAACTATTCGAGCCTTTCAATAACTATTATTCAATTTCAAAATTTCACAAATATCGAGCCCGTATACTTTTATAAAATTTATTCTCTCATAAGAAAAGTTTGTATTCCGATGAAGTCATCATGGGATGAAGACAGTCCAACTCCATTCTGAACTAAGTCGACAGAACTTTCAAGCATACTCTCTTTCCAGCAAAATTTCATCTTATTCACGTCTTTTATTTTTATTTACAATACAAAAATTTTAAGATAATAAGGAATATGAAAGCAAGTTTAAAAATTATGATTGAAACTTTTTTTCTGTATTGGCACTTATAGATTGATCGAGGTGATATAATCTGTGGTGGCTTTTTACTAGTTGTATGACACCAGTAGATCCTTCGTTTAAGGGTGCGGTCATATTTGCATCTATCTCTTCTAGGGAAAGGAACAGGAGAAAGCCTTTAAGCAACCCTCCGTCTTGGAGAGAGCATACGCATAGAATGAGGTCATTATCATGTATGCTTTTCGACTATATGACGGAGGGTTGCCTCGCACGTTGGATTTTCCCTCGTTTATCTCCCCAATTAATTTTCTCTTGTCGCTGTAAGTCTTTCCTGAGGCAAGTTTTGTCTGCTGATAACAACTGTTACAAGTGACACAAGTTTTCTTATCTCTACCGAGATAAACAGTCTCTTGACATGCACCTTTCCGTTTAGCGTGGCTTGCCATGACCCTAATTTGGAATTGTCGCTCAAGACATTCAGCAAAGGTGTTTTTGTGTTTCCTTCATATGGTCAATTATGACCTCTATCTCTTTAGCGAAACTGTTTGGCGGAATTCTGAAGAAGCATCGCAAATGCCTTATGATAGTTGAAGTCTAGAAGCACACGACCTTTTAACTATGCAGTATAACTTACCTTCAAGGAAAGGATCTTTAAAAGGGTGTCATTCCTGGTCAATTTTATTGCTCAAAATGCCATGTTGAAGTGATATCGAGGTATACCAAGATAAGGTCATCTTGCGGTGGCTGACTTCATATCGATACTTCGATGCTATATGCCACAAGTATCCATATCGTGTTCGATTATTTCTCGAAATCGTGATCATATGAATAGGAGATAGAAGGGCTGGGGGCTGGGGGCTGAATAACCTTAATCAGGAAAAGCTTGTATTTGGGCATTTTTGCTTCAATGAAGCAATAAAATTTGGGCACGATCTATGCTAAAGCCCCTAAACGTGTACAATCCATTCGGCAGTACAGATATCCAGTAATAATTAAGGTTTTTCTCTTATTCGGCTATGTTTATGCATTTTAATGATAAGAAACTATTTTTTATGTTTTTCTTTCTTCCTTAATTTAAAGATGGTAGAATGTCTAGCTACACTATGTAAGCTATGTAAAGCAACTAATTTAAAAATGCGCATAATATTAAACATGCATAATCAATTTTGCGAATGCTTTCCTTGCAAATGTCAAAAGTACAATTGAATGATAAAAGATCTGATGGGTTTATCTTGAACATCTGTAAAGTTGAGGATTACATGTCATTAAGGACAATGTTAAGCAAAATAGCTGGACTGTGAAAATTGCAAAATAGGAAAACTTGGCAGTTTTTTCTGGGATTTTATGAACTGATTGCAGGAGTACCACTAATCAATCTGCTGCAGTGTGCTTGATGGCACGAAACATGAGCTGCATTCTAGCCGCGATATTTAAACAGTCATTTTTCTCCCCATTTTTGGCTTTAGGGTTTGATTGACAAGAACCACGTATATTTCTCTGATAGTAATACAAAAGAGGATAGAATGAAGGAACATGGCATCAATTGACTCCATCAAGAAAGTTGAAACAAAGAATACAAAATGAATTTTTACTTATTAACCTCTTTTATCTGAGGCTTTATAGAAATTAATATGATTGGTAGTATCGGATTGATTCTGTTCTGTACGCAGTAGTACTTCGTCGAATTCTTAATACGAAAGTAAATTTCTTAAAACACAGTGATAATGTCATGACATACAAAATGCATTAATAAGCAAACTTTACAACATTTCAAATAGCTTTTTGGGTTAATATGAATCCAATGGCAGTATGCACTATGCGGGGTTCCACAAAGAGCTGTGTTATCGCCAATTCTCTTTCTTGAATGGACACTTGAATTGAATGGTTAATTTCATCCGAATGGCTTAGCGCAATTTTTCTCATAACAGAAAGGAACAAAACAATCCTAAACCTTTATTGTTGGCGATGACTGAGAAGTATCTGCTTGCTTTAAACACCTGATTGTTTCATGAAATTGATTATTAGCTAGCAGACATGTTTCACAATAAAGGCAGACAAGATTTAGGGTCCCGAGGTCTGTCTTCTTGCAAACAAAGAAGCAGAATCTTGCGAAAAATAAATTATTGAGGTTTTCATTGACTGCTTTTCTAGAAAGCTGTGTTTTGCTGTATATAAACCTTTTTGCCTAATACTCAGTGTTCTGATTCATTTATTTTTTGCACATGCCTGGTTGCAACAGCTAAATGCCCAATTGGGTATAATAGCTTCCTCCCTTTCTGTTCCAAAACTGATACTGAATATTTGGAATACTTTATAGCCATTCGAAGGATACTAAAGACATATGACTAATTCCAGTCAAGATAAAAATTGATGCTCATATAACAAGTGTCTCCTAAGGCTGGATTACTTGATAGCGGAGACTAGCTCCATAAAACTAGAAGATTAATGAATAATTCAAAAGGTGCAAATATTGTCTGTGCGAGTTAACCTTCTTCTGAAGCAGCTGGCCAAAAAGCTAAAATGCAATTGATAATTCTTTGAATTGAAGTTATAGATATATTGCAATCTTAAGAGAATTGCGATCTAATTCAGCTAGCTCCAATTCAACAAGTTAATACGCCCATAATCGAATTGAAACTCAAACAGCGTTCCTAGCTTTGAATAGGTTTATTTACAAGATACTTCATGACAGTCTGTGAGGATCCATAGAAGCAAGTTTAATTAAGAAAAGAATGGTAAACATTTATCTATGCTTGAAAGTTAGAAATTTGGAGAAAAGTTTCCGATTCCAATTCAGGCAAATTGCAACGAACAGGCTTCAATGCATGAACGAAGCTCTCTCTAGTGCCTCTAGCTGGCAACTTTGTATTTGAAACCCAGAAATGAATGCTTTTTCTCACTACAAATGTCTCAACTTTTTAGCTATAGTTAAGCTAATTAAGTTTTTGTATTTTGAAAAAAGCTTTCTACTGTGGTATACCTCTTGGATGTCTTTGCCATGCAACAACCCTGCCTTGCCATTCGAGTGCTGTATTTGTCTGATTATTGATGACTTAATCTTGCATTTAATGCTTTTATCAAGCAAATTTTCTTGATGCGAGTACCTTGGATATGTCATGTAAAAAGTCGAAGACCTTGTTTTCTTAAGTTTTCTTAAGTGCCTAAAGGCTGGTTTACATTAACATGTTTTCAAGACTCAAATTCTCATATTTTCATCAAACAAATTTATAAGAAAACCAAATGTCTCAAATGTCTTTGGTTGGTGATAAAATTTGGTTTGCTATATTTATATCAAATTTTAATCAAGTTTTTCTGATTGCAGGTCGAAAGAGCTGCACCTGCATCGAAGATCAAAGAATCCGTCATATCTGACCGCATTCCTGTATTTGGCACCATTTTGTCTTCTGATTTACCATAATGGTGGGAAATGTGAGTTTAGATTAAATAATTATTGAAAATGAAACTTTCTTTGCATTTTTACTACCATGGTAGTTCTTCTACCTCAAAAACACAAGAAATCTTTACAACCGATCAATAGAGTTTTTGCATTGCAAATTTGCATTATGGAACAATGATGACATAAGAAAGAGGAATATAGTGCAAGCCAGCCTTGAAAATCTTTGAAACCTCCGTAGCTGCACTGCACAACCCAAAGCGCTATCCAAGGTCCGCAGCAGAGGGGAGCCAAAAAAATATTTTGGAGGGGTAAAGAAATGCTTTTTGCCGATAAAAAGGGCATGTCTCACTTTTTAAGGGTGTGGTCAAAAGATAAAGACTCTCATATGCTGACAGAAAAGCTAATATCTTATAATTGTTGCAAAAAGGTTCCAGGGCTAGTACAAAAATAGATTCTTTTGCCCGGCCAAAAAATCCTTAATTTGCCGATGGACAAAAAGTTGGGGTACTGCACCCCCGTACCCCCCTTTGCGGATGCCCCTGGTCCGCACCAATGTTACACTATATGTTGAAAGGGGGGAAGTTTCAATTGAAGAAACGGCTTTATCTCTCTGTCGCCGCGCTCAGCTAACATGACGGAGTTATCTCTTTTAATGTATCTCCCGAACCTTCCTTGCCACTCAGATGATGATTCCATGAGAGGACTAAACCATTGCTTCCCAGGACAGACAGAATAAACTTTCCCTTGCTCACCAAAATGAATTAACGATGCAAAATCTCTTGGATTTGGCGGTTAATGATTTCAATTGCAAGTTGATACACAAGACAACATCTGGATTGATTTGAATGCTTGTGCTAATAGTTATTTCCCAAGACTTCGAGTCATACAAATGTTACTTGAATGAACATCTAAACCTAGATTAATCTGTCGCTCTTAACAAGACTCTTCAGTGGCTTCTGTTGCCAAGAACATCCTTCTTTTCGACTAGATATATCAAATCTATGGACTATATCGGCAAATACAAAGAGAACAGGCAAATAAAAGCCGAATGCTTAGTCAAATAAGACCAAATTACCAGTCTGTTGTAAAATCTCTTGTTCTCTATTACTTGTTAAATAAAAGCATACTTTCTGTTTCTTTATCTCAAATAAGCCACATTCTCTGTAACCTAGCAGCTGGGAGGTCCTTACACATGAAGGCCTTTAAAGAAACTTAAGTTAGAAAATACATATAAGAAATGAACACCATGAAGTTTAATCATGTCGATCAAATGTTCTTTACACTAATTCTGAAATTTGGGAAATAATCTTCATTTTTTCCATTATCTGACAATATCCTCCATCATCAGCAAGAGTATCAGGTAAGAAAGCTGGATTGTGATTAACGGTAGTGTGCCCATTCAGATTGCAATCGCAAGCGCGATCTATAAACGGGCTGATAAAACGCTGACAAGAAAATTTGATTGGTTTAGAACAAGCCAGTTGTACGCTGATTGCTTTAGACCAAACGACACTCCACTCGAAGCATGCTACTCGTCTTGCAAGTGCATTGCCACTGTAAATCAGTTTGCAATCTTTTATAATACAACATTGAACTTTCTTAAATTCCAATATTTTTCAAATAACACTAAGAACAAAAATGATTTCATAGTAGCAAACAGCATGTTTTACTGTTGTCTTTCAGCAGTAGACTGCTTTTTCAACAATAAGCCACTGTGATCATATGACCAATAAAGGTAACTACATAATCAATATGATTGACGCTTAGTAGCAAAAAAGACAATTAGAATCATAGCAAATTTATGACAGACAGAAAGACTTGGTATTAACTCACGATTTGCGGGAAGCTTTGCCCTTAAACTCATGAAGAATCATAAATGCCACAAAGCTACTTAGAAAAATAGAACTGATCTTCAGCATAGTACCACAAGCTAGTTTAAACATGCTGCTTGTGTTAACGACGCGGTACCTATGACGTCATTTTGATGACTAACGGTGTACCTGAGGAAAAATATTAAATGCATTATGGCCTGTCAGTCAGCATTTCAGAATTGAGAATAGGCTCTGCAGCGTGTTTAAAATCGAGAGAACGTTTAAAGGCATTTGACATGCATAAGTACAGCGAATCCAAAAATAACTTAGGACAAATTGATCAGAGCACGCGCACAAGAATGGAATTGGAAGCTGCTCACGTTAAACCACTGCGCACTGCTCTAGGATTTCACCGATTTGAAAAAAGACGGAAACTGCTCACGTTTTTTCTCTGTGCGAAACTTGATTGGTCAACCGCTCGTGGTCGAGTGGCTGTAAGCCACTTTTACCTGTGTCTTTAAGATTAGACGATTGGCTCTGTGGCAATAGATCTGTTGTATAGTTTAACCAATAGAAATTTAAATGGCCAGCGAAATGCGTCTTGACTTAGTGCCTTTAACTACTATATTGCTTTTGCTTTCTAAGTTAATCATTTTGACAAAGACACCTCTTGATGGTGTTAATGCTTTGTTCTGTAAATAAAATTTACGCTCCGATGCTTTGAAAACGCCAATATCAGTGTAGTGAATTAGTTAATCTATTCAGTGATACAAAGGAACAAAGGAACTGATCATGGAAGGAATGCTCATGACTCACACCTCAAGTTGAACGATGGGCTTTGGCAGATTCTATAAATGATTCAGATTCATTCAAATCAGAAGGAAAAAGCTAATCTACGCGAAAACATGGATATTGGATCTCATTCCCAGGACAATCCTTTTATTAACATCAGTGTGAAAGTTTAGCTGCTTCTTAGCGCCAGACTGTATTTGTATAGCGATGCTTAAACGAATAGAAAGAAGCCAGCAATCGCCTATCATTTTACATAGTTATCAACTCTAGCGTTTATCTCTTCAAATATGACTTAGACTGTAAGTGCAAGAAGCTCTAGCTAAAGAGACAATATTTGCTACTTGGTGAGCTGGATCCAGATCACGTGTAGATGTCTACTTCTAACGTGATGCATTGAGGGATCTCTGGTAAATGCAGCAGCAATGCTAGACGATGTCTCTTCGGCAATTAACTAAATGGTGCGTCATATGGAAATCGTTAACGGGTTAACCTGCAAACGTTGACCTGCATCAGTTTGCCTGCTTGATTGTGTTTATTTGTACTGGTTCTTGCAACTGCAATTGCAAGCAGTCGGACGTCTTAATTACATGAGTACATGTCAATGCAAAGGATGTCTTAATTATTTGACTTACTTTAATGCTGGCATAATCAAAAAATCCTCTGCTGAATATTATCACATAGATGTTCTCTGGCTTTTTGTAAAGACTGTATCAAGAAAACGCAGAGAAGAATCTGATTGACAGCTGACTTTAACGAAGAACTTTTATTCGCGATCAAGACATAAATAAGAACATTGGTTTGACAACACGATAATAAACGATGTTTTTCAGTATCGGAACGACAGTAGCCATTATGGTATGCTACAGCGTCGTTTTTATGACGGGTGTCATTGGAAACTTTAGCATATTAGTTACAATTCTTACATCATCGCGCTTTAGAAAATCACTGTCAAACATTCTTATCTCCGATTTGGCTCTTGCTGACTTCTTCCTGTGCATGATAACGGCGCCGTACTATATTTCAAGCCTACTAGCTGACAACCCTCCTCAACCAGGAGCATCTTCATTGGATTCCATTTGCAAGGGCTTTGTTGTCTCAGCATATGCATTGGGCTTTACAAGAATTTTGCTGCTGGCGACAATTTCAGTAGAAAGATTCATTGCTATCATTCATCCGTTTTGGTATCAAAAGTATAGCTTTTCTTCTCCTGGTGGCATTCAACTAGCTTGCATTTGCTTCTATGCTTGGTTTCACTCATACCTCTGTACATTTCCAGCAGCATTCATAGACAACTGGATCAAATACGAAGGCAAGCCAGCAAGGCTTTGTGCGTATGCCTGGGAAAGTGCAAATCTTGGTTTCGTTTTGCCTGTGTTTACTTTGAACTTCTTCATTCCACTATGCGTTATTGTATACACCAATTGTAAGGTCTACGCTACAGCTCGGCGCCAGGGTAAACGCATTGCTACATCATGCAGGATAACTTCCCCTACAGAATTCAGGCCTACAACTCGTGAGCCAAGTAAACGAAAGTATGGACGGCAAGAGTTTTTATCCCCATTGCCTGTCACTAACACCAATGACAACCTGTTTTTAGTAAAAGGCAAGTCGCAAGCAATCCTTAGAAGTTCTACAATCGGGAGTCAGAATAGAAAGGGGTCTAGCTCACCGCACAGTGATATTGACTCTGCGTATAGTGAGCAAGAAGAACTTCGTTTTGAGAATCAAGTCTCACTCAAGATGCCCTTCCTTGACGCCGAGCAGCTTCAGAAAGATGCAGCCCCGAATACAGCTTTCAGAAAGATTTCTTTTCAAAGGGTCAATGAAAGTGCAGAGGATAACGAGATTTCAAATTCTGTGATTTCAAACCCAACAACCTTCCAACGAACGACGAAAACATCTGTTTACTCTAAGCTTGACGATTCTGGTTTCAAAGATTTAAGAAAATTCTCTTGCTACTCAGAAGTTAATTCACAAGTTAGTGAAAAGAAAAGTGTGCAAATCAAAGTTTCTGAGATGAATGACTTCAAACCGAAGTCGTCAAAGATTCGTCGGTTCCCACTTTTACAACCTAGGCAGGCTAGTCCTTATAAACGAAACTCCAAATTTCATGGTAGAACTAAGGACTACGTTATATTCTTCTCTACACTGAGTGTGGTGACATTGTTTCTCTTAACATGGCTACCATTTGCAATTACGACGATCAGTGTCTTGATTACAGGGACTGTACTCCCAGAAAAAGCCGACATTTTTATATCAATGATGACTGTAATCGATTCTGCATTTACTCCAGTGATAGTCTTTGGAACAAGACGTGAGTTCCGCAAAGCTCTGGTTAAGCGACTGTTTAAACGGTCACTTAGTCACAGCTGATTGGTTAATCAAGTTCAAAGATCTTTTTATCTGCAAAGGACGCTGTTGCTCCAAAGTTGTTTTCGTTCCATTGATCTCGTTTCAACGAGGATCTTAAGAATTTTACGGGAGTGGATGAAATAATTTCTTTGATCACATTCTTGATAAAGGCAACTATATAAAAGTTTTCACAAAATTTCAAGAATCAAGAGTGATTCTTCAAAATTTCAGATGTTTCTTCATTAAGGTCGGTCACGTAGTTTTAATTTTAACAATTCCGTTGCTAACTTTTCTTTTCTGCTGGTCGACGTTTAATTCAAATAACACAATGAAAAGTCAATTAAAGTATGAAACGGATGCAATTTCATCTTCGATTTTCTCAAAGACAGATATTACCTGAAATGATATTTGAAGGATAGTTTCATTTCATAGAAAAAATACCAGATTATTTTTAAAACTGTATATTGTGTATCATTTGTGTAATTTGTGTGTAAAAAATGAAAGGGAATGTGTAATATGCCATAAAACTGTACATATTTCGTATAACAAGAAACTTTGCTTATGTTTTGCTTAGACGTGTTTGATAATTTTCGACAATGGAATGTCAATTCCTGTTATCTTATAATTTACCATTCATTCATTGCAATTTCATTTAGGATATTAAATGTTCTTGCTTTGTTTAACAAACCGAAATAAAATAAACGTGAAAGAAGTTCAAGCATTCTAATACACGTGGATTAGTGTTTTGACTATTTTAAAAGAACAGTTTCATAACCAATTAATTATTCCTATAGCATGACAAAATAACCAATGATAATTAATATTTGCTCAAAATGAATTTTCTTTCAATTCTTAGACCCCACAAGGATATTCAAAGGACAAATATGTCTTTTAGTTGTTAAAAAGTCATTTCAGTGACGTGTATGACGATCAATCATGCATTATGGATTGCTGTGTTTGACGCAAAAGAACCAGGAAGTAAATATACCACAATATCAGCTGGTTTTATGTGCAGGAAAAGAACGATAAATATGACGTCATTGGTCTTTTGTTGTTTACAAACGACAGTGGCGAAAATAAAGTTTTCAAGTGAATTGGAAGTCAATGAGGAAACGTTCTAGTATTCTGACTTTAGACGTAATTTCCTCCGAATGAGTAACAAATTAAAAAAAATCAACATTAGCAAGATGAGCTAAACAACAACCAAGTAAAAGTTGACAACTCAACAAAATTTTCAGTGTATTTGCCCTACACTATCAAAACGTCCCTCATTAGGAAAGCAGTTCAACGGAGCTGGTCTTCTTGAAATTAGTTTAGTTTTTATTGTAAATATTTTCAAGGTCCTAGAGACTGTCTGTGCGTCAATCTTAGTCGTTGTATTGTTTGATTTTGATGAAAAAGTATTCGCTGGTCTTGTACCATGCTTGCACATATGTAATCATCTGTAAATTTGTATTTACTGTTCAACTTCGTTTAAGCAATGTTGACTGCGTTCACATTAATCCAGTCGCATAAATGTTCTTATAATATACCATAGTCTATTTCAATGAAATTGTCATCGTTTCATGAAAAAATCTTTGCATTCTGATCTCTTTAGGATATATTGCTAATTGGTAATTCACTATTTGCAGTTTTTTTGTCCTAGTTTCAAGACAAGCCACTCTGATCTAGCCTTTTCTTGAAACTTTTTAATAAAAAATTGATGCTATCGTAGATCTATGAAACGTTTTGGCTGACATGGAAGATCCATAACCTAGCCTCTTCTTCAGACGTGTCTAGCCTTTTTTACATGAAATTTACTGAAGATTGCTGTTGATCTCTAAGTCTTTGTAGCTACAATTAATGTCTGCAAATGCCGTGCATCACTATACGAATTCAAATATATTGCAAACACAGCCATACGATTAAACCTTCTTCTGAAAATACGATTGACAATAGCAAACAATTTCTACTTTCTCTTTGCATTGCTAATAAAATTTTGTGATTTTAGGATAGCACCTGGTGATATTTACTTAACTCTCGGTTTCGCAAGCATCAATTTGCTCATTCTTGCCAGCATATTTTCACAAAGCTAACATCTGTAACGGAAACTCGATCGCATGGGCAGCCTAATTTTCAGTTCTATTACCTGCATTACTCTTTGTTTCCTTAACAGTTTGGTAACATAAACTAACACATATTATTATTCATTTCGAGCAATGATCCCTTTTATTTGCTTTAATCGATTGAAATTTATTTTGTAATAGCTATTAAAAAGCGTCCAACTCACAAAACACAGATCAGAATCACAAATCAACTGTGGCGAAGATGGTGCTTATTTCACGTTCAAAAGCATAGATCTTTGTGTTATTTGTTATTGCTTCCAATTTCAGCTAAAGGAGTTCAATTTCAGCAATAACCAGTTGCCTTTCACGAAATTCCCTTTGCCATCCATAATAAAAAATATAAAGTTTGAAAGTGAAAATATAGATGTACCTTTTGAAGTATACCAGGTTAAAATTCAAAGTGTAAACTTCATTTTAATCCTAATCGATATTTGGTAATTTTGTAGACAGACCAGTAAATTACGCAAAATATATTTACAGCAAAATCAATGTACCCTGTACTTATCTTAAAAGTTTTTTATCTAAAAATTGTTTTGTATGTGAAATGTTTGTGATTTATTTTATTTATGTTTATCAAGGCAAATTTTTAAGCATCCGAGCTTTTCCGAAGACACTGCACAATTAAAAAAGGGGTTGTGGAGCTAATTTCATATTTTTCCGAAAAAAAATGGTCAATAAAATTTCATAGAGCTTAGTTCAGCTTTTCTTCACTGTTTTTAGTTATAGCGCACAAAATGCGAAAAAACAGCTTTTAAATAAACACATACAGCTATTTGTTTCCTTGGCTAGTAGAAAGGAACCTTTTTTGAAATAACAATCTTTCCAACCACGAGAATGAATGAGAAGTACCCTCGCTTGCTCCTTTATAAGTAAATCACAGTATGTTTACAATAAAACGTCAAGTTTTAGCCATAGAATCGTGAAAATTTTGTTGGTATAAGCAATATAAACATTCTTTACTGAATTAATTCCTTTTGACTTTCATTTTATATTGATTTCATAACATTCTGATTTTATCGATGAAATATTCTTATGCTGTGACTCGACTCTACAATTCCTTAAAGCTGATGGATTAAAAAACAGTCAAATGAGAAAGGATCGAGAATATGAAACACAAAACAAGTGGAGCCTCCTGTAGAATTTTGATAGATTTTTTTTGAAATTTTGAGAGTTTAAGAAGTCTCATGTCCTTTAAAACGAAATGGGAAGTTGACTTTTCTGTGGCAATTAGTGAAGAGTGTAGGCCAAATATTTGATATTATTGAATATTGAAGATAATTTGACTAAGATATCATATCTCATCTTTTGTCATGATGATAGACTTTTGACATTTTAATGATAAGGTTAAGACATGGTGGAAACGATTTGAAAAAGTTATCATTAGAGAACTGCCTAACATCACATTTTCAAATGAAAAGCTTATCTGTTTGAAGCCATAAAGGTTCTCAAGTCTTGAAATTGTTATATTTCATTTTATTAGGCAATATTGATGACAGCAGCAAAGGAAATTAATGGAATCAAGCAATAAGTTGTCCAAGAAGACTCAATGTGAAATCGAGGCTTAAGAAGACAGATAAAAAGGTACGAGGCTGGAGAAAACGTGATACCGTAAATCCTCGAATTAGCCCCTTGGGGGCTGGTTTACTTTTTATATTTTTGGATGGGGGCATATTCGAGGAGGGGGGGCTTATACAAGGGATGGGCTTATAAAATCATTATAGACCTTAAGAAGACATTATTAAAAAACCTCGTTTATTTTAGCAGGAATTTCTTTATGAGCATTTAATTAATTACTACCAAAAGTATGAATATGTTGTGGTAATTCAATAAAACGTCATAGGCAACCTCAGATGGCAAAAATCATCAAATGGAGGGGTTCAATTCGAGAATTTTTACGGTAGCAGTGGGGACTGATTCGAGGGGGGAGCTTATTGTCAATTTGTAGTTCTAGGGTATGGGGCTTATTTGAGAGGGGAGCTTTTTCGAGGGGGGACCATTTCGAGGATTTACAATATTTGCATTTGTGAGTATCAATTCTGGTTCTTAAGAAAATTTGATGAATTTGTTAAGCGATGCCCGTGATACAGACAGGCAAGGCTGGATAATATGTTTGTATGATATTGACAATTGGGGGCTGAGAGGCTGGGGGACTGCGAGGACTGGGGGGCTGCGAGGGCTGGGGGGCTGCGAGGGCTGCAGACCACTAAGAGTTGTCAAACTGTTGTATAATTCCTTTATAACTGAATGGGAGCAAAACAACGGACAACTCCCCCCCCCCCAATATGAATATTGTTCAGACAGCACTGAAAGAACATTGTTCCGATGGCTGTTTTCAAATCTAGCGTAAGAGCGACACCTATAGAAATGAATTAGGATAAATTTTATCAAGCACAGTATAAATGGGGCTTAAAAGTCTCTTTTGATCGTAGCTGGAACCTTTGTCTTTACCTACACCAATCGTCTTCCTTGTCCATTTTTACCAAATTCGAAGGGTGCTACCAGAAAAAATTTTTATTGACTTTTAGACAAATCATACGCGCTGGTGATCCAATTGTTTTGAAAAAGTCAACATTAAAGTAGCTCTTTGAGGATTTTCTGTTGCTTACATTTGCTTTCTTCTTTCTTCTAACTAAACACAAGCTTTAAACTAACTTCAAATCTCTGTTTTTTAGATCTAGACTTTTATTTTTGCCTGGAATGATCTTAATTTTGTCCTTCTTTACCGTTGAACTTGTTCCCACGACAAAACTGCTGTTCCATCTCAAATCTAATCCCGCAAATGTTGACAAAATTTCGCCATGTACTGGCCGCCAGGTCATTCTTCTTTTCAACTAATATCATCCTTGCAGGATCTTTTTGAAGTTGAAGTAGTAGGCCATCCATCATCAGCAGGACGCCATTTTGACACGTAATGAAATGACCGTTCTGAAAGGCTCTAACGTTGAGCTGTTTCACCCACAGCCTTAACAGTTTCCACAATCTGGTCTTCTTTCAGGATTCAGTCACCTTTGCCAAACAAAATTTTCACAAATTTGCGACTGCTTCTTGACCTTAATTTTGTTCATTTTTGACAATTTCACAAGAAAGTTACTAGAAATATTTTAAAAGTTAACTTTTAACTTTCCTTTCAATTGATCATTAACTTCACGAGAAACAGGAAAAATCACAGGAGCCCACATTTTGAATTAGATAAGGCAAACACTGTTGCTTCTCGCGATGCAGCTGCACCACTATAAATTCTTGCTCCTGTCCTGCTTTGTGCTTATATTTAAGTTGACTGAGGAAAATACCTCATATCTGCAGGGGTAGATCCAGGATTTTTGGTGTCAAATCTTTTGGGATTGGGAACACGCCTTTCTGTTTGCGTGACACGCCCAATGTATGGGCAAATGCTGTAATCAAGAGTGTTTATAGCCGTTTCATATTCATAAGTATTCCTTCAAACTTCCTTACTTTTTTTCCAGGGACACCGAAGAAGAGGGTAAGGGGTTCATCCGCCCCCTGTTGTCCTTTGATAGGGGGGCAAGGGGCTTAGAGTGTACTTTTCAATAAATTGCCTTTGAAAGCGGCCAATTGTAATAATCAGAGAGATTCATATGATTTTTTAGACTTCTCAAAACTTGTAAAATAACTCCTTATGCCGAAAGTTAGCCAATGTTTAAAAAACCTACAGAAGATCGAAATAAAATTGCAGTTACGTTGGAATTTGTAGAACCTGAGAATTATCTTTCAAATGCCCTTTTACTCAAGCCTGTCTCCCCCCTTTTGCCACTTGTTTGTTTCGCCGTCCTTGTTTATTTCCTTGTAGGTCTTTTCCTTTGAAGATACACAATTGGTGTCCCCTTTGAAGATTACAGGGGACACAGGTTGTGAAAACGAGCTATAGTTCAATGTTGCTTTACAGGGGACAGAGAGCGGAGAGGTACCGTGAATACTCATATTCTATTGGTTAAAAGGCCATTATCAAACCTGTCTATAGCTTCACTATAGCTCGCGCCAAAAATTGTAGCACGGGTTTCATTGTCTTTGGTGCCTTTACCAGAGCGAATCCCCAGACCGGAATATCTACCATAGCTCAATTCTGGTTGGTTACTGTCAACAAAGGACGGAACTTCTGATTCGCCTAAGTTTTATATCTTATCTGTAGCATTGTTTGAAATATTTCGGACGCATTGTAATGACACATTACCAGCATTGTATAATTGTAAATCGTATTTGATAACCGGGTACGCTGTTTTCAAACGTTGATAGCAGAGAAAGAATAAATACTTGTGGGGATAAACACATTTTAGGGACTGCAACGAAACTTTGAATTCCGAAAATCAAACACGGAGATTTTGACTATAGCATGAGCTAAAGTTGCTATAGTCTGGATCCGCTCCTGTATCTGAACACTGCTATATTGAAGAATTAAGAGTTAATGATACGATTTTTTAATCAAGATAGTACTGGACTTTGGGAGTGATGCTTTTTGGCTCTTTAGATGAAAATATCAATTCTAGGTATCCTTGACGTAGCACTTGTTATTGAAGCTAAATTGTAAAGCGTGTAGGGTTTGCTGTCCAATGTGTGTTTGGATGTGACAAGTAACTGCAAATCTTTTGGTATCCTTTCCAGTTTCCTTTTATTCGCTACTCTCCTTAGGGTGAAACTCGACACTTTGTGGACTGGTAGCTGAATTCAGGAGATGGGTTAACTACTTAATTTAAATCATAAGCATCTATTTGTTCTTGAGTTGCAGGCATTGTTTAAAATCGTACTATTGTGGAGAGATTAGAGGATTTCTAAGCTTTTTTTTAAAACAGCCAAATTAGTAATGAATGTTTTCTTGGATTTTCAGGGAATTATGATACCTAATATCCAAGAACTTTAGGAACATTAATTCTATCATTTATGCTAATCTAAATCGAAAAAATACATTGTATCAAGTATTGATTAAGATTACTATGGCACTGTTAAGAAACTTTTTTAAAAGGGCTTAAGATCATTGCAAAATTTTAAGCTCTCTTCAAATCGAAATATTGTTTAACGATTAAAGGATGGTCAAACGAAAGTCAAGGAAAAGAAACAAAATTTAACGAATACATAAAGCATCAATCGACGTAAACCACGCAGAAAAAGATACCACGTAGCTTCAAATTCAAAAGTTATAAACTTGGTCTAAATACGATACTAGGCTCAAACCACACTAAAGAGTTCAAAGATGAATATCAATAATAATTATGTTAATTCGTATACATGCATGCAACATAGTCTATCTAGGTAATAAAGATGGTACAGCCTTTTATAAACCAGTAATTTTCGTATGCCAATTGCCAATTGGCCAGCAGGCAACGGGAAAGCTGAAAGACATTCGTCTTTCTCTGCTGAAATTTGCTGTGATATTTTTAAATGTAAAATTACACACAATAAAAGGGATTAGAGGAAAAAATTGTGAAATGCATTTCATAAATCGTCTACATGAGCATGTGTACTTGTTCAAAGGAGATGGCCCGTCAGTTCGTCAAACAAGTGCGTTTCTTAAAAAAATTGTCATTTTTCCTCATTGATTCGTAGCAGTGATTCAATGCTGATCAAAGAATGTTAAACCTATCTGCAGGTGCAGCTAGCGACACCGACTGGTTATGTCAATCCTAATGCCCTCGCAGCTAAATGAAAATGATAGATCAACGCAAAACTGTTTAGGTTGAGGGCATAGATGTGCAAATACAGAAAGATTTAGGTGCAATTGGAAGACCATAAATCGTCAAAATACACCTTCTCAAATCTATTAGAGAACACTTATTAGTCAGCAAGTCACAGCCACTCCAACATATCTAAAAAGCACTGATCGGTCAAGACTTAAACGTGCAGATATTGTTAGCGAGCATTAATCCGTCAAGAAACATTTACTTAAACTGGGCGAAAGAACAATTTTTGTAAGTAAGACATACCCATTCAGAATTGGTTAGAGAGCAATGATCTTTTAAGGTCCATCCACTCAAAAATAATTAGAGGACACAGCTTCGGTAATAAAAAACCATTCGCACTCAATTTAAAGACATAGAGACGAAGTCTTTTAGGCACTGTACGCTCAAACTATCTTTCTAAATCAAAGCCATTCAGGAACTGTTAGACAACAATAACTTGTCAAGACAGAGCCACGTTCAATAACTTGTTGAATGACACAGACACTTCAGAACAGAGTCATTCAGGTGCACTTCGAAAATTCTAATTGGTAAAAACCATGCCTCTCATTTGCAGTTAGAGGACCTTGATTATTCAAAACAAAGCAACTCAGGTAATGCTAGATGACACTGATTCGTCAATATAGACCCACACCGTTGATGTTAGACGACGCTAATTCGTCAAGATAGAGCTTCTAAACTCTCAGTTGCAGTGAGAAAGCCGTAATTGGTCAAGACAATGCTTCTCATTTGCTGTTAGAGGACCCTGATTCGTCAAAACAAAGCAACTCATGTAATACTAGATGACACTGATTCGTCAAGACAGACCCACACCGTTGATGTTAGACGACGCTAATTCATCAAGATAGAGCTTCTCCACTCTCAAGTGCAATGAGAAAGCCGTAATTGGTCAAG